TGCAGCAAAGAGTGATGGTTCACCTTGCGATCCTTAAACTTGCATTTAAGTCCGGAATTGCAAAACTTAGCTACGTGACCCTTCTTTAAACAGTCGTTGAAGACACCAGGTTGTTTGACCAGTGATCTCCTCTCGTCGGTCGACATTTTCAAAAGCTTCGGACATTTAGTTAGATTGTGGGGTTCATGATAAAATGCAACTCGTAGTACGTGTGGCTCTACTACTTGTCGAATGAATAGTGCCTCTCACCAAGTTGCAGTGCAACCTACTTCTGAATTGTGAGCTAGAACCCTTCACCCAATCGCCTTCCGAATTGCGCCTCATCAACAAGCCATACCTCAACCGAGCTACTCCAGGCCTCTCCTCAACGAAGCAAACCAAGTCCTAAAATTCGGGTTCCTTCCCAGTGGCCGAAATCCTGTCTGCTACGTCAGCCCATCTACCTTGTAAATTTATACGTAGCCGACTAACAATAGCCTCCAAGTTGACCGGCGAATTCAAATCAGCAGCATTGCCTGTCTGGGACAACATTATTTGTACATTCCGAAGCTCCACGGAGAACTCCTTCATAACCTCAGCGGTATTCTCCAACGGCTCTCTGTTTCCAACTAAGTCGTCGATGAGTGATCAAACGATCATAGCTCCTGTCCAAACAAATCACGAAGGATTTCTCTAGCTTTATCATATCCGTGGTCAGCAGGCAGCGAAATACGTACTTCTATCGCTGTCCTTGCCTTCCCCTTGCAAAAGTGTAAGAGACAGGACAATATCTGGCCTTTGTCAGTAAGTTTAGCCTCTATCGTATTTCCAGACTGACTCATAAACAACTGGTATTGACTGAGCCGTCCATCAAAGTACACAAGCTCTATCCTTGGTAGAGAGATGTTGCTCACCACCGAGGCTAAACAATCTCCCAAATCTGATGCAGTTATATCGTATATCACTGGGTTCAGGTAATCCTGCAGCATTCTTAGACCTAGAATGACTGCCTATCCTGTCCTCGACTCCTACTACATCATCAGACCATAAGGAGCCTGGTCGTAATTCCTTTTCTAACCTTTTCTCCTTCGACAAAGATTTAGGTGCTGGGTCATTAATAGAACTAGGCATACTCCATGAAGCATCCACACTAACACCATCAACACTCACTCATTGTTCCTTATCGTCACACAAAGCATTAGAAAATTCCAGATTATTGTCAACAGGTGGAGTCTTCCTCCTAGGTTTTGATCAAGCATTTTCCTCAAACCACCATGGAGAAAGATCTGGGACTTATACTGATTGACAAACTAGACACTAGTTCTAGTTATCTAGGAGATGCCCTAAAAACCTATGGAGTACCACACTTAGGCACAAACTAGGTGCCCCCACTCTGGAAATCTTCCTTAAACTGTGCGAGACCTACATACCACGGCACTCAGAGGTCCGAAAAGTCACTGCACCACCATACCCGAGAAGAGGTGTGAAACATCTGGAGAAAGTCCCCTTAGATATTTTGGGAATTGTCCCGGTGCGAACTTGACAAACGCAGAGGCCAATCACCAATTATTCAAACTTGATCTATACCCATGAATACGAGACCAAGAAAAAACCCAAAAGCGTAGTCGGATGGGATAGTATATTTGCGAGGTCGTGCAAAGATACCGATGCGTTCCAACTACCTGGCTAGAGGGTTGATTACAAGCAGTGCAACGTAACACGACAGCTTGCCAGATGGCGAGGATGCCTGATAGGGTGCATCCAGCTTAGCGAGTCAAGTTAAACTATGAATGTCAACATCAATGTTGAATCTCGTCGAACCCTAGGCTATTGATTCTGGAGAAGTGTGTGACGCCTCAACATCTCCAGCTGCCATCTCCCAAGAGTGGTATTACTATCGCTATTCGTATAATCCGTCTCGTAATCTGATTTGATCCTTCTCTTCCCTCTGACTTCATGTCCTAGCACTATTTTATAAAAGTCCTCCCGATTACTTATCTCCCGTGAATCTGCCAAGGTTTCACTTTCCGTCCCGCTTCCCTTCACCTTATCGTTTTTTGTTTTTCCTCGCGCTTCCTCTCCCTTGCTTCCTATGGAAATCCTTCCAACCTTATTTTGCAACCATTTCGACCAACAGTCTGGCAACATGACATTTGAGGAACCCACCTGGACCACAGTCGTTGGAAAAATCAAACAGTCGCTACAAATTCAATCAACATCCAGCACCCCGTCGGGCTAACCAGAGCTATAGCAGGCGAGTGAGTAGACCTACTACGTCGGAATCCACAAGAGGCCTGGAACCGTTAGAAAAGATCTAGAAGTGAGCACGAATAAATCAATTGGTCTGCGTTAGCTCGTAAATAGATATTGGATATCGGAATCGTGCCAAGTACAAGGTTGCGTTACTTTGGTTGTAGTGTGATTGTGGTTTTTGGTTTTGTCACCTACAAGCATTAAATAAGGATCAGTAATTTTCGTGAGTGGAAGCTGTTACTTTTAATCAAATTGTGTTTTTATTCCCAACTAAATTCACTGGTATTCTTATTATGTTCATTTCTGTCTAGTTTCTAGAGTTCAGTGACCCATCCGACATTAACGTCGTACACTTTTCTTGAATTTCTAAAAAGTGAGATGCACTCCATACATCCTGGATGATGCCCAAACCTCAGAATGACCACAGCGTGTCGTAACTATCCTGTTTACCAATGTGTTTTTGGTTTTTATACTGAAAATAACAGTCTAGAGCGACTGCGAATAACTTATTTTGCGACTGAAATGCTATGTAGATACATGTTATCTACATTTAACCTTTATTTTAGGTATTTCTTTGCTGATTAGCGGTGAAAGTCTTACTTACCATTATTATTTGTCCTTTGGGTTCCTGTAGGAACCTACTATAGTGGAACATAGCCATGTTCCACTGATAATGTCAGAAGTCCCAAGGTGCGCTCGAAGTTTAAAGACACGCTTCACGCTCACCGAAAGACATAAATGTGGTAGTAAATTTATATTGTAACATGACAGGTATATCATGCTTTTCTATTTATTGCATCTCGTTGACGCTCTCTGGCAAAGTGGGTAGCCGAGTGCTCTCCGCGTATTTCGGGACGAGAATAGAGATAACCTCACCACCTTTTGTGGCTTGAGGTCGCGTTGCTTAGTCAGGGGTTACGTTTCTCAAATCCAATTGTGACAGGTGCTGCAGTATCAGTATGAGGTATCGGACTTGTCATTCTAACTGAAAATGAAGGATAGTGAAGTTATTGTAGAATTTTATAGGAAGCTTCACTGCTTTCCATAAAAATTTCATGCACTCATTATATTGAAGCACTAATAGTGAATTAATTGAATAAAGGGAAATAAACAGCAACATTTCTCGGGTGCAGGAAATGCAATTACTCAGCAAAAAAATACCGCCACTCACCAACACGGTGTATAGTATTTTGAACAGGATTTCCGCTCACAATCACCAATTTTGGTGTACTTAAACAGACGTGCAACAGTTTCGAGGACACTACAAAACTTCAGGCACTACCCAAAGTGGCTGCAGTTAGCCCGAAACTTTGTATGTTTATTAAACGCGCCCAAAGTATCGGTAGTGCGCCCGACGATTTGTATTAACCCATATCCCAAGTTATGAGAAGGCATATTCTGTAATATTGTTATATGAATATTTGACGTTTATATACTACATGTGTTATTGGTATAGAAGTCAATAAATTGTTAGCGGCCAAGTGAAATATTTTTGAAATTTAGGGGGAATACCCAAAAGTTGTTAAGTGCGCCCAAAGTAGCTTTGGGTGAACCCGAAAGTTCCAAAGTGCACCCGAAACAAATGCTGGCTGGGAGGTCTTCAGTAGCACGTCGCCATTTCACTCCACGGCTGCCCATAAGCTTTTATTTCATCCTTGCACGACCTCCCCATGTCACCCTTGGACCCCCAACTCGTTGTTCACCCTTTGGGTTCCACTTGAGAGCCTGGCCTAGCACGTGACATCCACAAACCGTCTTCTCAGCCTATGTCTAGTTCGATCCATCACTTCCGGGAGAGTTGGAGGACCGACATCTACTTCCCATTCTTTCTGAGGTTGGAGGTTGGGCAACTGAAGAGTTACTGCTACCAGTGTGGTGCAGACACATACGTGCCTGTATCAAGGTGTAATTAGAGCCTAGTAAGTTGCACCAGAAAGCGCGGTAATCCTCCACTGCAACAATGACTTATAACAATGCGATTTTTGTCCGTCTTTGGTGTAATTTTGGTTGGTGTTAAGTTATGCCTTGTCTCCGTATGCTTGAAGTTAGTGCTCACATGAAACAGGTGATTGTGAGAACGAAATTGCAGCAGAAAATCGCTTTCGTCGGTTCGTTGACACCGGATACTGTAAAACCCCGGAGATGCTTTTCCGGTTGGCTAAGCGTCCCCACTTAAGCTTTGAAGTCGCCTGGTGCAATGACTATGTCTGAACGTTTTGCTTCATGTAGCGAAATTGGCAGCTTTTGTGAAGTGTCGGCGCATAGCCAGAGATAACAAGTGGGCACTGGTAAGTGTCGCCATCCTTTCTACTTCTTGAAAATCTATTTGGTCAGGCAGCACATTGATGGGTGTTAACTGGTATTCAGTCGAGGATCGCTTTTTCTTCTAGAGAACTTGATGCTACACCAACAAACCTATAAGCACTAATTCTTCTGACCCATACTAAGATGAAACAGATGTTCAATGCTCCCAAGGTTCTTATGGTTTTCTAACTGATATCGTTCCGCAGTTGCCATCCTGAAGGCAATCAATCCACCAAAATGAAATCAGTTGGTAGTTCCTTTATTTTTTACTACATTCTTATTTGACTTTCCTCATCATTGTCGGTATTACGCTTTGCCTTAATAAAATATTCTCAGCATTATCATATTCAAGTGGAAACTCTCCATGTTTGCATCGTACAGATTGTGTTATCTTTAGATGGAATTGCATTCAGCTACTGTTTTCTAATTACTAATTCAGGTCAATAAAATATACTCAGTGAAGGATGCCATTCTTAAAGGGTGGACGTGTGGCAGTGACCAGGACGAAGAAGTATTTGGAAGCTGGGCGAATACTTCTAAATGATGGTGTCAAGATCATCGTTATCAATCATATTCCTGGCGCTGAAATATCCCATGGATGTGATGAGTTCATTAAATGGCACTTACCTCCAATGCAATTCAGAAATCCAAACGTCCAGGTAGATAATGCACTGAATATTCATGACTAACCTGACAGATAATTACATTCAAAAATATGTTTCCAACCCCATTTATCAAGATATATCTTGAGAAAGATGAAGAACAAGTAGTCAATTGCGCCTTCCGAAAGAATACTGACATTTATGACCACTTACATGCACTCCTTGGAAAGGCTGCTCCATCTGAGAACTCATTAGTGAACGACTTGACTACAAAAAATCCTTCAAATTTTGGCACAGAGTAACTTAATTTGAATTACAATTAATTATTAATTTAAAATATCTAGGTTCCCACGTCAGTGTATATGCGAACTGTATGGTCAGATGCCTTGTTCTTCTCATGTTGGAAAGCCAAAGTTGTGGCCACATCTGAGTTATACACTACCATCAGTGGATCCTGAACAAATAACATCAACTCCTGTCGAAAATAATTAGTTACATCACTAAGACACCTATGTATATATGTATTCCAAAAATGTAGAAGTATTTTCTCCTACGTAACCATTTAACTTAGTCATTTCGCGCTTCAGGCTCTAATTCTACATTATGATTGTGTGTATGACGATTTTCATATCCTTAAAGAGTCGAAATATTATCATGTCTTGGTTTCTCCAATGTAATTTGTTCATTTGATATTTGGACGTGTAGCTAAGCGTTTTTGCGCATTACAATGTATCAGTCAACTCGTGCATCCAAATAAGTAGTTACGTAAACTCGGGTTCAGCCACAGAATTGTCCTCGTTAACTTTTTAACCGAAGAATCACCGAATAAGTTTATGGAAATATTGGGTGTATTGAAAATGAAAAGACACTGCAGTCGTACACTCCTTACTCATGTGTAAAAGTTGTCCAATGTCTGTTCACACTCACCATTAAGAAATATCAATAAGACCGTGGTTAGATATTACAGTTGAATAGTTCAAATGAAACGCTTTGCACCTAGCCTTTACTTGAAAGCTACATTTTCCAGTCTTTTCAAGATTTTGATAATGCAGTTTTAGTTTGAATGATCATTTCAACCGTGCTACGTGTGAATCATGTTTCATTAAGGTAGGTGTGAGTAAGAAATCATGTAATACCGTTTTTTTTGTACATTGGCTTTTGTACCAATGTATCCGGTAATGTTGGCTGGTCTTCATCTTTTCACACAAAGCTTATGTATTACTGCTGTTGAAAGTAACAGATAGATAAAATTTTCTATCAGCTGCGACAAATGCATCACATTTGGATTCAGAGATACCGTTTTCTTGTCCCAGTAGAATTTGAGGACCTGGAAACTGTAATCACTTCAACTGAATCACTGCTAAATACGGTAAAACTTATGTTCTAGATTTTACCGATAAACATTATCTAAATAATCATAATGTGGTCGACTTCGCTGGTTGCCACCGTAAGTAAAACATTTGCAAGAAGGAATAGGATCGAAGAACCGTAATAAATTCTAACAATTGGAGGCGTTTGGATATGTGGATGCACTACACCATCTCTGCTAAGTATTACCTTTGTTGTGTGCATAAAGATGAATTCCTTTCGGCTTAGGCAATATGAGAAATTTATTGTGGTATGCACAAAATACATGTTAATATTATAAAGCAAACGCATTCTCAAATATGAAGAGTATCTCTCAACTTGTTGTGCAGTTACTGAAAACAATGCAGTGCAATAAGCTTATTCCATACATTTTGTAAATATGATGGAAGATTCACTAGAGAACAGGAAAGAAAGCTACTTAGTGACGCACTTTACTTAGCACAATCTCAGCAATGTGTACTCAGCATACATAGGCCTGAGTAAATGCGTATAGGTGAATTTATCTGGATGCGTTGGTTAGTCTAGATAAGAAAGAAAACATTCAACATATTTTAAAAATCAGAGACACCAATATAAAACCTCGGACAGATATCAGCAGTCCAAGTTGTCACAGCACAAAAGGTCCTCTATGTTTTACGCTTTGCTACCACTTATCACTTCGCAGCGCATCTAAATCATGAATGAAATACATGATTACCATAATAAAATAATCAATCCTGTGGTATGAAACCGTGTACTTTGATTCCGTTTAGATAGTACGGGGTGATTCTCATCAAAGCAAGAAAAACAAGATTCGCTTCGACGAGCGTAATCAAGGGACCAGGTTTTATGAGTTTTGTCTTCCTTTTAATTGACAGTTTGTTCCGAAGTCAAACTAAGATGTTAGTAGGTTTTTCATTGATGGACTAACGGCAAATAAGCACTTTTAAGTAAATTCGGCTACCACTCTGATGGATTCATGTCCGGCTTGCAGATAGTTATTTCAAATTTATTTTGTTTCCTTACATATATAAGTCTTGTGTTGTTGGTAGTCTTCAGAATCTGAAGCAAATTGAGCCAAAACATACTTTTAGTTGTACTTGAAATATTTTGAGGCGCTTTCTACTCGGCCGACAGCTACTACTTCGACTTAGTGGTCAAGCTTGTATATCAGAATGACCCAACGCTTTTTCCCTCGAGGTCCTATCATACCAGAAATATCTGTTTGATAGAAGTTAGACGAAAAGCGGGTACCACTATAGTGTATGTTGCTACGCTATGATGCGGCTCTGAGGGCGAGGTCGTATTGTTGGATGAACCGGAGTGTGACAGCAGTAAGGTGTTTTCCTTGGATGACCAGGAGTACTACGATGATGCTGCCTTCCCTATTGAAATGAGGGGTTAGAAAAGGTCGGCCACCAAAATAGCACACTCCCATCGCCCAGCGGCATGCCGATACTTGCGGCAGGGATTCACAGTCAGATTTCAAATCAAACGACTAAAATGTCAAACTTGCAGAAAGGCTGTGTGACTGGCATTACGCAGATGGCCCTTGGGCTCTATGGTCACGCACTAGCCCTTCTTTTTTAAGTACTTAGCTGTCCACGGTGCGGGCATCCAGTAAGTGTCAAAGGCTCTCATAACCCTGTCAGCGCCTAGGGTCCACCACTATCCATGCCTCACATCCTTACATTCTAGTCTTTCCTCATGTCTCTCAGTCAACTACCCTGCGTCATCTTCAATTCCTCCCAGCTCTGCAGCTGCTGACGGAGATCAGAAACCCCAAAACACATCTGGTCTTTTGAAACTGCGCTCCAAGTTACACGCTGGAGCTCTCAGTGTTTGAACCCTCCAACAAGCTATTCTAGCAACTGGGGTCATGGGTGTGTTCGTAAGACGCGCAAACATATGGCCCGAGCGCGATTTCGTACCTAACCTCGCCCAGCCGTTATAGTGAATGTGCGAAATTCACCTTTCGAGTATCTGGAAATTCGATGGCCAGTTCTCGCGATCTTGCAGATACGCGTATGGATTGAGCGCTAGGGCGGAAGGTACACTGCTCGAGTGGATCCCAGTTGAAAGTTATCTATGTGCCACAGTGCTCAAGTTTTACACTTGTATTGCCTATGCGCTGTTCGATTGAACGTCACAGAGAGGACTAGAAAGAATAGCAAAAATTGCTGTTGGTCTCTTTGTATTTTCCGCTTCAGCATTCACTACCTGTAGTTCAGATGAAGTGAAGGACAAACTAGCGAAGACTATCTAGCCTCCTATTGAAAGCCAAACGCTCAGATATAGTAGTTGTTGCAGGCGATTTCAATACACAATTAGGTGGGATAAGTCAGGCAGAAAGGCACTTGAGTGGCACTTTCTGAACACCAGCAGAACGAACAGATAACAGCGATCTGTTGCCACAACTGCTCAAACAACCATCTATCTCCAGCTACCATTAACTTCAGATATGAAGAGAGAAGTTGTTTGGCGTGGCGTCCACCGACCTCAACTCAGCGGTGGGAACAGATAGACTGCATTGCTGCCAGTCATTGCCGGAGGTCAATGGAAAACTACCGCTCCTTTTGGAGCACATGTATGTCTGCGTCTAAGTGGACGCAGGAAAAATTAGATAACAAGACCACTGCGAGTGCAGGTCGATAATGAGATCGCCGAGCCACTTTCAGTTAGGAACTGGCTTGATATTTTTCCGGACGGAATAATATCACTCATCCAGAAGAAGCTTGGCACCATCTCGAGTCTGCTGTAAAATCAATGTTGAAGACCGACTCGCAGAGAGTGGCCCAAAAGAGTCATTGGATATCAGTAGCTTCTGAATCAGAGGATGCATGCGAACGCACCCCTGCATGCTTCGAATACAGTAAAGAGCGAATGCAACTCAAATGACAAAATGTCCACCCAGTGATGGGCAGCGAAGGTTAAAGAAATGAAAAAGGGAGTGGCGATAAGTAGACAGTTATTTAGACCTTTAAGGTAAAATGGTAAGTGTTTTGCAAGACCATGAAGGAGAAGAATGGGTTTGTGATTCACTCACAAGGAAGACGATTGGTCGAACACTTTTAGGAGCAGCTAAACAGACCTGTAGCTACTATTGCGTTACCCGTTATCCATCCTGAGCGTGAAAAAAAACATCCAGATAGGACCCCGAACACTTGTAGAATTAAAGAAAGCGGTAAATAACCGGAAATAAGGAAAAGCTTCAAGGCCAGACACGTCAGTACAAGAGGAATTTAAGGATGATGGTCGAGGATTCTTAGTCAAGTTAACTGAAGTATTAACCAGTGTGTGGGAGTCAGATATAATCCCCTCTGACTAGCTTAAATCACTGATTGTCCTAGTCTTCAAGAAATGTGAGAAGTCCTCTTGTGACAACGAGAGGAATCAGCCTAACGAACATAGCGTCTAAGATTCTAGAATCATTAGATGTCTAAGTGGAGCTCGGGAACACCAGATGCTAGATAGCTTTCAGACCTGCCTGTGGGATATCGACAGAATATTTACACCTCGCCAGGCTCTGAAACACGCACATCCACCGACGCCCGAAATGGGCTGTACTTGTTGACCGGATAGCGGCACTTGACTCCGCTGATCGAGAGATCTTATAGCGGTGAAAGGGTGGTACTGAGTGAGTACATTATTCTGTTAAAGGCTGTTTACGTGAACAGCCGTGTGTTAGAGCCTACGGTGAGCTGTGTACATCTAGTGGTATCCATCAAGGATGCCAACTCTCTTCATCCCCATCAGTTTTATCATAGACATTCTTATGGAGGCATCACTCTTGTTATCTGACTACACAGAGATTGATCTAACCACTGTAGGGTCCTTGACAGTTTTGCGCAAATGACATAGTTCTAGTGGGTGAAGACATTGACAAGATGCAGACTCTTCTGGACATCTAAACTTCCGATTTGAGAATGTTCAGGATACGTTTCTGGCCATTTAAATGCAAACTGTCGCTCCACGATTGGTCTTCAGCGATGCCCTGTCTGTCAGTGGAGAGTACAGTGGTTGAGTGTGTCGACTACTTCACTTAACCTGTGAAGTCGGACCAGCCCTGGTGGATCGGTGGCCGACGGGATCTTCACGGATACAGCGGACCCAACTGGCTTTTATCAACTCACGCTATTTATGGCGCCACCGCGATATCCAATTTTATATATAGGGTCGAGTGTATTGTGCTGCAGTTCACTCTGTTCTACTGTATGGCTAGTAATGGTACAGGAAATTAGAAGCTTTCCATAGTTTTACCACCGTTGCCTTCAAAGCATAGGCCGTGTCGTGGTGCCATCATGTCAGTACTTCAGAAAGAGAAGTTTAGGGGGGGGGGGTAAAGGAAGTCAGTTGGTGAGGTTTATAATCTTCATCGACTTACATGACTGGGACATGTGTTATGCATGTCTAATCACTCATCGTCTGCCGCGCAATGTTAGCTAAATTAGGTTCAGACTGGGTCTTTGGGTGGGAAAACTAAAATATGAATCTCTTGACTGTTGATTGAGCCAGGTAGGGCGATGCAGACTAGTCGGTCGGGGGACCGCGTGACATGCTTCAGGATCGATGTCAGTGGCACAGATGTGTACACACTTTATCTTGATCGCTATATTGAATACAGGATTCTTTCTTCCTCTCTTTCACTACTCTGTACTGCTTCTAACCGATATTTCCTTCTCTCTGCATGTTGTCGCTGTCACTTGATGTGCTAATGTACAGTGTGGCTCTTTGGACCGTTACGCAGTAATGACTGGTCCTATGTTGATGATGAATAGCCATTTTCAACAGCAGTATGGATGGACTTATTAAAGCAGGTTTATTTAAAACACATACGGTACAAGCGGGTGAACAAGTGACTGAGCACTATTGTTTTCGGTTGTCTCATGGATTCTAACATGGTGATTCTAGTTGATATAGCTCGGGACCCATCACCATGGTCCTAATGCATTCACGCCTTACCTTCATCGTTATTTGTTCAATGACCTTTTTTCGTGTTATGGTTTCTATGGCTTTTGATCATTCTATTCCCAAACACATTACCTCTCGTCTTGCTGCCCTACTATAATGAAGTGACCTATTGCAAACTAAACTATTACGCAGTAATACTAACACATTACAACACGTGAGCCTCGTAGCATTTGTCACCCCCAATCATTGTTTTCTAAAGTCAAGATATGTATACTGTTGGACTGATTCAAGATATTTCGGCTTGGGCATTTATACAGGGATGCCATGTCTCTCATTAAATAAGTAGATTACAGAATATTTACATGGAGTGAGTCGCAATATGCATAAAAATTAACTAGGCGAGAAAAATTCATCAATGCAGAAATATCCCCAAAGTTATAACATTCAGTAATATGGATAAAGGGAATTCATATGAAATGCAACCATATTTTAAAGATATAGTAGTCAGCTTATACAAAATCAGATCTAGGGATAATTTGAATGTTTTAACTCGGAAGTAAGAATAGTGACAAATAGTAGTAGTACTATTGATAAAAGTCATGAGATATTTCAGAGAAGAGACGTAGAACCCTTAGGACCTAGCAATCAACTAGCTTAATCTTAGAAATGTACGCCAGGCCGATTCGAGTTTCATTTTCCAATAGTAATTTGTAATATTTGCTGCATTTACATTCATGGTCTCCTAATTGTAAACCTTGCGGATTAAATGTATGAGAAGCAATTGTTTACTAAAAAAACCCTCTGAATATTAACAACAGACATAAGTCTTTTTAAAACAGTGAACTGGTCACAATAAAATTGATCTATACAAATAATTTATTAACTAGAAGTGATACCATTTACACAAGGAAAGTTAGCTAATAATTTCAACTTGATCTTGTCTCAGCTTTTGCAACTGTTCTTTCAATCGACTGATAAGTGCTGGTAACCCATTAGACAACTGATTATCTACGCATTTTTGAGAGCATATTAGTACTTCTTGTTGAGCTTTTTTTAGTTGCGAATCAGTTGCATTCAAACTTAGTTTGTCTCGAACTTGATTACTACACTCGGCAGCACACTGCTGTATCCTTGTCTAAAACGAAAAGGAAGAAAAATTGGGCATAATATGGAGGATATTCAAGATACAGCTATATTTTTACATTGCATGGTGAATCAGCACGAGAAGTATGAATTTATAGTTCATACGTAGTTGCCACAAAAAAGTTAATCCTGCGCGAAAGTTAATTTCAACTGACTAGCTTTGATCATGACAAAGAGTGGGAGTGGGAACGATATTGATGGTGCTTAGTTCTTGAACAGCTACTCAGGTTTACTGACCAAGAAATCTACTGAGACACGTTTACGAGGTGACTAGAACTTTGGGCAAAGCACTTCCAGCAGCAGTTTAGCCAGCTTACACCTGTCGTACATGCTAAGTGTAAACGTCAGTTCCATAAGTCTTACTGAAATTAAGTTTTCAAGTGTAAAAAGGAGTGGAAAACACGAGTACTTATATGAGCCCGACATTTGTCGGTTTTCTAGTCCCGAAGGCATCATTTTACCCTCTTGAACGAGGTTTTGTGCCAGTACCGAGAAGTGAATAGAGTACTGAGCAAGTATATTAAGATGGACTGACATCCGTTAGAGGAACATTCAAAACATGGGAGCACTGGACAGCTATTTTGTTTTAGTATGGGACTCCTCGACAGTGCGCGACCATGACGCCGCCAGAGATCGAACCAGTGAGAAGTCATGACCAGTAGGGCAAACCTAGTGGCAGTGAGAACAAATACTCAATGATGACATTGGGTGGTGGTTACGCTGTGTCGTGAACTGACAGAAGTTGGAAATATGGACCATTGTATTCCGACTTCATGACCCAATGGTAACGTGCTGGCATGGTACATGAAAGTCCTGGGTTTGGACTGCTGAGGAGTCCCATACTAGGACGAAACTGCCGTCCAGTGCTCTCAGGTTTCCAATGTTCCTCCAACTGATGTCACTCCATGATGATTACCAACTTGAAATCACTAAGTATATTGTGCTTGTCAAGGTTATATGCTAGTAGTAACTAATTTAACTCGGTTGTAGGTATATTGCTGAATCTACTTGATTCTTCACTGATTGGTTTACTGCACGGTTGAGCACATAGACAAAAGAGTTTTGTTAGGTGGAGATGCTGATCAAATGAATGTTTTCTATACTCCCAGTACATGATCGTGTTTACAGTTATTAGGTTGAGTAACGTTCAGCTGAATGTTGACAGACAGGTATAAGGAAGTACAGCGTTGCACAATTAAATTAATGATATCGACACGTAAAATTCAGTGCATACCTCAGAGTTATACTAGACTTAGCTGCTTGCCAGATATTGATCTAATCTCAAGTGTTAATATTACTGTAAGTAGTCATACAGGTTACTACACACGTCTGGTTCCATGTGGTGGAAGTATAGTTAAATCTTAAAGTATGTACAAAAAGGCCTTAAAAATGTCTAGTTATACGCAAGCTACAGTCACTATACGCTGCTACTATGTTATACTACATGCTAAGAGGTGTTAATACTTTGAAAACAGTATAGCGTTGAAAAATAACACTAACATAATGTATAGAAAACCTAAAAGACAATTGCGTACAGTTATGGATGGATGTACTTAACTGCAACCTCTAATGGTAATGACTCAGACACAAAATATGCTAATTTCTTGATCTAAAATAAACAAAACTAGGTGAAGGGTTAAATAAATAATAAAAGCGTAAACCTTTTTACATAGCATGGGACTGGTAATTAGTGCACTTATCAGAGAATCATTCAAGTAACGACGCTAATAAAAGTGATAAGGGAAGACATTTGCTCAAGTGTAAACTGAGAGAATGCTTCTAAATGCATTTACGAATTAACAGTTGAAACATGCCAGTTGAGGCCCACGTGATAAGAGAAACTAATGGTTGGATACTTTTAGAATACTTCAGAATTGATGTCAGTGGCACAAATGTATCCGCTTATTATTTTCATTTTAACTACTACTCAATTCAGCATTTTCTCATTCCTCATTACTGTCTTTCACTGCTTTTGACCGGTTTTCCTTCATCTTGCATCCTTTAACTTCGTTATTTGATGTGCTGATATGAGGTGGGTCAATATGGGTTGTTACGCAGTAATGCCTAGTCTTATGCTGATATTGATAGTGATAACTTAATAGTACAGTAGCCATATGTGTAAGTGAAATGAGAAAAATATTATTCCTCACCTGGAATGTGGTAACTTCAGACTGCATTAGTTCATGTGCATGACTCAGAGGAGCTTCGCATCTTTCTATGCATCGCTGAACTTCAGTAACAGGGGCATCGGGATCTTCACAACATTTTAGGCCACATCGAAAGTAATTTGCCTACATAAAGCTTAGAATCTATACACTATCAAGCTTACCTGTATTTTACGAAGATATGTAGTATCAAGACCGCTTAAAGCATTCTCCACGGTTTTGTGATATTCATTTTGCAACTTGTTCAAATCACGTGCAAGCTGGAAGAAAGCAAACATTGTAAGTTACATATCAACGGAGAAATAGAGGTCCATAAGTGGTTAGATTCGGTCATGCACACAAAATGCAAATGACAGAAGAATTTTATAATCATAGGCTTGAAACTGAGACCAACCAACTGTACTCATATCCTTCACCGACTTAAATCACAAAACAAAACTGGATCTTACTGACGAATCGATTTTCTTGCCAGTATGAATTTCGATTTGCTTGGAGCACGAGACGATTTAAGTCGTTTTTGGTCAACGACGAATTAATTTTCTGTATACTCAAGTTTCCCGTTAGTGTTCTTTTTTTTCATAAAAGTGTACTTCTGTTTCGAATTTTACACTTCAAGTAATTTAGCTTCGTGTGTGGTTCAAACACGGTAACTTACATTGAGATTTTCTTATACGACCTTCAAAACTATGCTTTAAAAGATGTGAAGAAAAATCCCTAAGGTAATCTTGAAGTAACCTCAAAATACTTAGTACCAAAAGAAGGGAAGGGTATTTGATGATACCTCTTAACATATTTTTAGTAAGATTTAAAGTCCTACACTTATGGTATATTTTATCAGGAACCATCAGAATGAAAAAACTAACAGAAATTGTGAGCCCAAACAATTGCCCTGTGTGCTTGCAGAAAGTTAATCAATTACCACGCAGCCTGAGTTTTGGATTGTACGATGTTGTAACTAAGCAGGTTATCCCATTACTATTATCTCAGTAGTGTATGCAGGGGTAAAGGGCACAAGACAAAGATCAAAATGCTTGTTATTTAAGGGCTAAGAGGTGTGATTTTAAACTGGATGACGTTCAAGTTTGCTTCATGGGGGGAAGCTAAATAAAGCATAATTTTTTCCACTGGTTTGCAACTTCCTGTCAGATAGATTGGTTAAAAAACACATGTACTTACAGCAAACGCTTCGATGAACTTCATGGGAATGTTAGTCAAACAACAATAGCTATCATGATAGGTATAACATCTGAAATGTTGCCCAGACACGAAAGTGGAGAGAGCCACAAAATTCAGATGTAACCATACTCAGTCCTGACATCAGTTCGGGATTTGTAATAGTGAACAAAAGCGATTACAAATATAAAATATTCTCGATTCTTGATGATAAGAATGAATTCTGTTGAGATTGTTATTCAGGTGTTCAGGTAATGCAGGGAACGGTGACAGCTAGTCTAACGAAACTCTTTAGCTTAAACATTGTCCCTAAGAACCAATTCGAGGCATCAAAGCCAATAGAATCCAGATCCCCACATCTACATGACCTACCCAAAATACAGAAATGAAGCTGTCCTCTTTGCCTTATATTATCAATGCATAGACCACCAACACTGACTAATCGAATTATTGATCCCTATCAAAAGACAATATTGTAAGTATACCATAGAAGATACATTTGTTAGTTGACTGCCTTGATGGTATTAATCTTGGCAATAAAACTATGTATTCTTTTGATATTATCTGTCTATTCACTAATACCCAGTTATTTAAAAAAAAAATAGACATGTGTGATTACATTTACACCAATCATTTTTCAACCCCATTCCCTTTACCTTACTTAAAACACATTATATTTATGTGCTAATAACATTTGAAGGTGAATATTTTCGTCAGATTGATGGTGTCTCCATGGGACACCCCCCTGAGTCTTCTTTCGGCAGATACTTTCGTGTCACATGTCGAAAAGCTATCTGAGAATTTAACTGAAAACGTCCCATTTTATAAAAGATAAATGGACGATATCCTAATCATATGTGGTGATTTATGTTGTGCTGCTTCAGTTCTGAATCGAAAAAAAGAAGTACATAATAGTATATCTTTAACAACGACGACTGTTCATCTTTCTAAGACGGATAGATCGATCGACGGCAAGATGGACCAGTAAAACGGTCTATTTACAGAAAGCCTAGTTGGACAAGATATTATTTTGACCATATCAGTTCTTGCCTGGTTCAATACAAACGAGGTTTCGTTAGGTGTTTATTGAACCGAATTCAACGAATAGGTTTAGCTAAAGGAGACAAGATTGTTGATGAAGAATAACTACTCAACGCAGTTTATCAGTCAGGATAAAGTAGACAGAACAGCAAGGGATATTGTCTGCTCTGTGCTTAAGAAAGATGTATTTATCAAGCTACAATACAATGATGCCAATAGCTTAACAGAGACATACGCTGCCATCGATAAAACGTATTATGCAGCTAGGGTTCGGATAATAGAAAATTCCAAGCTATATGCCAAATGAAGTCCTTGGGACAGGTGAAAAACGAAGTCATATATCCCACTGTATTTACCAATTTAAATGTAAATGTGGTCACGCATACCTATAGAGGGCTCATCTATCACTGAAAATAAGGACAACATAACACATTCCAAAGTGGTTTCAGAGGCAAATAGTTGCCTGAGTCAACTGATGTTGGGAACAAACCTCCAATCTCCTCATTAGCTAAAGCAATTGTCGAAACCGGGCATAAAATGGATGTACAAACGTCATTTAAGCCTATCTATAAGACCTATTGGGGACGCACTTTGTTGAGGTGCATTAGTCATTAAGAGGTTTGAGGCACCCTTTGCGCATTATGGGAAAGATGAATATTTGGCGAGCAGATGTGGACAAAATGAAAGTTACAATGTGAAGAAGGACCATTGTGCAAGTCACTGGGTAAAAATACGCCATAAAGCTCTGTAATACTCATTAGGTGGTTTCTTGTTGATGCCTAGCTGAAGACAACAATCTTACACAATACTGAGGAGTTATGAAGAACAGATATGTTGACGAGTGTGAAGCATGCAAACATATATATTTCAGAATATACACCAAATGATAATAATTACGGTCGATCTTGTAAATCCTTCTTCGCAAGATGTAAGCTATTATCTGAAAGTTAGTTGAAGTTTAGAAATTCGTTATTCGCTGCCTAACATTACAAACTGACATGGAGTGAAGATGTAGTTTATTGGCTTAAGCCTTCGACTTTCAAGCGATGGATATAGAACTTGGACTAGGTTCTACTACTTAGGTCTGGGTGACCAGGTAGTATTGTAGGCTGTGTACCACGTTGAGTAGCACTACATTTCACTGCCCATGAGAGTGAAATATGCTTCTGCTAGACTTTGGAATTATTATTATTATTATTATTAGTCCCTTGGGTTCCTAGTGGAACATAGGGCTTCAGTAGCACGCCTCCAGTGACCTCTGTTCTCTGAGATCTTTTGAACCTGGTCCCACGACAGCCCAGAAGCTCTCATTTCCTGCTCGCACGACCTCCTCCATGTCACCCTTGGACGTCCAACTCGTCGCTTCCCATGGGGATTCCACTCGAGGGCCTGACGCGTGATGTCCTCAGTCGGCCTTCTCAGTGCATGGCCAATCCATCTCCACTTCTTCCTGCATATTTGTTGCGTGATAGGTTCTTGGTTGGTTCGTTCCCAGAGTTCCTTGTTGCTTATTTTTTCTGGCCATCTGATCTTCAGCAGCGAGCGTAAGCAGTTGTTGATGAATGTCTGTAGTTTATTGGAAATACCTTTCGTGACGCGCCAAGTCTCTGAGCCATACAAGAGCACTGACTTGACGTTGGTGTTGAAAATCCGTATCTTGTTCCGCATGCTGAGTGCAGAAGATCTCCACACTGGTTTCAGGCTAATGAATGCCTGTCTTGCTTTTCCGATTCTGACTTTGACGTCCTCGTCCGTCCCGCCTGTAGTTGAAACAGTGCTTCCTAGATAAGTGAAGGAGGTTACTTCCTTTAAGTTTCTCCCGTTGACAGTGATTGGAGTTTGTTGTTGTTGATGGTGGTGGTGCGGTATCTTCATCACTTCTGTCTTCTCTATATTCACCTGAAGTCCCGTCTTCGCTGCCTCTTCTATCAACTTGTTAGTTTTTGCCTGCAGATCTTCAAGTTTATGTGACATTAGGCATAAGTCATCGGCGAAATCCAAGTCTTCTAGGTTCTTTTCCGTCGTCCAGTGTATCCCCCTCTTCTCGCTGCCTACTGTTTGCTGCATGATCCAGTCCACCACAATAAGGAATATCATGGGGGATAGTAGGCAACCTTGTTTCACTCCTGTCTTCACTTCAAAGGCATCACTGAGCTTCCCATTGTGGATTACTTGGCATGTGGCATCTTCATATAGTTGTTGAATGAGGCGGATAAAGGTTTGCGGCACTCCGTAGTAATGAAGCAGTTTCCAAATTACCTCTCGGTCGACGCTGTCAAAGGCCTTCTCAAAGTCGATGAAGTTGAGGTGGAGAGGTGATTGCCATTCTATGCTCTGTTCTATGATGATGCGAAGCGTTGCAATTTGGTCTGCACATGATTTGTACTTCCTGAAGCCTGCCTGTTCCGGTCGTAGTTTTGAATCCAGTGCATCCCTTAGCCTCTCCAGGATGATGCGGCTTAATATTTTACTTGGGGTGGACAGGAGAGTGATTCCGCGCCAGTTCTTGCAAGCACTGAGGTCTCCCTTCTTCGGCAGTTTGACAAGGTAACCCTTCTTCCAATCGTCAGGTACCTTCTCTTCCTTCCACACCTTCTGCAATAGTGGTGTGAGCATGGCCGCTGTTGTCTCTGCATCTGTTTTCAGTGCTTCTGGCGGTATTCCATCTGGTCCTGCTGCTTTCCCACATTTCAGTAGCTTTATGGCGTTCAGGACTTCCATTTTCGTTGGGGGATTAATGTTCACTTGTAGTTCAGCGGCTGCAGGTGGTATTTCTGGACGAAGTGCAGGTGGTGGTCGATTCAAGAGCTTCTTGAAGTGGTCGGCCCATCGTTTCCTCTGTTTCTCTTCTTTTGTAATTAAATTTCCTTCTTCATCTTTTATTGGTTTCATCTGTGTTGGTCTCTTCCCTGATAGCAACCTGGTTATTTGATACAATGTCGTCAGGTCTCTCTTACCTGCAGCCTGTTCTGCTTCACTTGCCAGTGTTTCGTAGAAGTGTCTTTTGTCGTTGCGTGCACTCTTCTTCACTTCTTTGTCCAGTGTTTTATACATTGTGCTCAGTTCCTCTTGTCGTTGAGCATCCTTGCACTGGTTTATCTTCTGCTTCACCATCCTCCTCTCCTCTATCAGCTTCCAGGTATCCGTCGAGATCCATTCCTTGTCTTCTTTCTTCTTCCTTCCTAATACTGTTGTGCAGGTTTCTTTCCACATAGCTTTCAAAGACTTCCAATGTTCTTCCACACAGGTTTCTTCAGGGATGTTGCTCGATGTCTCCCATTTTGTCTTGATGGCTGCCTTGAAGATCTCCTTTGTAGTTTCATCCTTCAGTTTCCGAGTGTTGTACTTGAGTTGAGGTCTATCACCAGCTTCCTTGAAGGCTTTTAACTTGATTTGGAAGGTTCCTTGCACTAGGTAGTGGTCTGAACCTACATCTGCTCCTCTTCTTGACCTTGTGTTAAGTAGACTGCGTCTCCATTTTCTTGAGATTGAGATAAAGTCGATTTGATTTTTAGTGTGTCCATCTGGTGAAATCCATGTCGCTTTGTGGATATCTTTGTGCCTGAACACACTGCCTCCAATCACCAAATCGTTGAATGCGCAGAATTCTGCAAACAATTCTCCATTCTCATTCATTTCACCTAGTGCCTCTCGACCCATGGTTAGTTCTCTTCCCGTGTTGTCCCCTCCCAGTTTGGCATTCATGTCGCCCATCAGAATTTTGATATCGCCAACTGACGTCTTGTCCAGTGTTGATTGAAGTTGTCTGTAGAAATCCTCCTTTTTCTCTTGCTCTGCATTATTTGTAGGTGCATAACATTGTATGATTGTGACCTTTCTTCCTTTTGAGTTGAATCTTGCTGTCATGATCCTGGAGGAGATTGGTTCCCACTGCATGAGAGCCTTCGATGCTCTTGAGGACATCATGATAGCCACTCCCTCAGTGTGCTCGTGGTTGGCGTCTGGGTGACCGGAGTAGATTATTGATTCTCCAGTTGACAGTTTGGAGAGTCCACTCCCATTCCATCTGCTTTCGCAAATCCCAAGCACTTCGATGTTATACCTTCTCATCTCCCTTGCAATCTGGGCTGCCTTACTGGGTTCAAACATCGTGCGGACATTCCATGTCCCCACGTTTACTTTCGCTTTCATCGAGAGAAGACACATCGGCCAATTGGCTTCCCGAAGGCTTTCACCAACTGGCGTCATTTCGCCTCTCCGATTCCAGCGGGGAATAAGTTTGTTTTCATTTTTTATATTTTGTTTGTGCTTTGAAGTTTCTTTAGCGGTTAGATTTGTTTTACGGGGTAGGGTTGCTAGCCCTATGCCCAACCTTCCCTCTTTACCCGGGCTTAGGACCGGCTAGTAACTAGTAAACTAGTTAACCAGGCGAGGTTCTTTGGAATACACAGCGGAAATTCCAAACAATGTACCAAGAGATATTCATTACATGTATATCTTAAGTCTACCATAGAAAATTAGTGGCCAATAATTACAAGTTCTTTTTTATTCATTCATCTATCTTATTGCTTTTGTTACTCGATATGGTGACATAAAGTGTGGCAACTTGACGTAGCGAACAGTAATATCTGGTTCTATGCTGATATTGATGACGACAGGAAACATAGGTAGAGGGATGTCGAGGGTCTCTGATCCCACCTTCGATAAGCGTTTGGTCAGTTTAAGAGCTTAATTTCATGCGCACCTTGTAGTTACCGAAATATGTATTAGAATGATTCCTAAGAATGAACCCTATCGAACTGTGACTCGTTGGTTTACGGAGCTGAATTTCAACCAATGGATCACGGGTTCGAGCCCCACCCCATTTATTGAGCAGCTAGGTAGTATCATTAGCCCTTCTACATGTGTGGCTCATTGCCTACTGCATGAATGTGTACAAGGTTGCTGAGTGCACTTTGAAGAATGAACCTTGCTGAACATTAGTATGCAGTTGCCAACAGCGGAGCGTTAACGATGAAGTTTAATCAATTCTGCTTTATTTGAAAAAATTTTCCATCCCTTTAAAGATGAACAAAGTCAACAAATTTATTCTTTTAAACAAACATCCTTCATGTTAGCAGTCTCCAAGACATTTCAGACCAAAGAAATAACGTCAGTAGTATGGCGATTAGTATTTAGAATCTAAGATAGACGAACACTAATATTTAGAAGTTGAGATCAGCCTATTTCACCCTTGGAAGTATCCCTGTTTTCTACGCAAAGAATTTTAACAGCACTGCGACGACCACAGAAGTTCTTACCGAATCTGAAAGCTTGTCCATTTACAGCTAGCTTCTTAGGTAGGCAACTAAGTAAAACGTTGGGAATATAACAATAAACGCTAGTATTCCTTCAGTGAAGAGTGTTGAAAGTTATTAAACCTCCACGCGTTTCAGAACAGCACGTAATCTAAAATTTACAAGTATCAGAAAGTACAGTAGGTATGAAAACTGGTTGAAATATTTAATAGAATAATGAAAAACATTGAATATTAATTATTCCCTTCGCTACTTCACTTGTCTGAACTACTGCCATAAGTACCATGATTAGTTAAGTAAGATATTCCAGGAAGTTCCAGACATCCTGTTTTGTCTCCATACTTCTACGACAAAAAATCTCACAAGACTACTTAACTATGAACCAGTAGTTAGTTAACAAAATACCTTCGTAAATACTAACGTTTCGATTTGTATACACATTCCGATTCTAGGGATATAAGCAATAGAAAAATTTAATATGGTAACAATAATCATTTACAAGTAGATGGCTATATCTAGTGTAGCCAATTTTCACTGAGCATCTTTATAATATGCGCGTACAAACTTGAACAGTGGGGTAATTCGGAGCAGTGATTAACTACAATAGAACATGTATGCAACACTCAGAAGGCAAAAAGGAGAATAAAAAAGATTTTAGAGAGCTACGTAGTCACATATAGCGAACCAAGAACAGCATAGACATCTTCATTACGATTCTGATTAGTGCCTGTGCAACATTTCCTAGGTTGAAAGAGAAACGTCACTTAATAAGTACAGACGTAAAATAGTAACATATTACCGTAGTAAGCTATGAGCGCTACATGTGTCTGTCCAACTCTCCTTAATTATTTTGTAGCAGCTTCATTTTCACATACTTTTGATGCGTGGAATAAGTCAGTACTGTGGTTACATTTAATGGACGGCGCTCTTTGATTGATGTTAGATGGTAGGAGACAATCGGCAGGAAGCCTGGAACTAACTTTTGTGCTTGTTGACACTTGTCAGCAAGACATATCTGCAACCTCAACCGAACTGACTTCCCCAAAGGGATTCAAACCCGTCACCCAATGTTGCAGTCAAAGATGTTACCACTGGGGAGTGCCAACAAAACCACAAAACCTAGGTCCAGGACTTCCTGCCGATTGCCTCCAACCATCTAACAAGACTAAATACATGTTTTTTCTCTTCAGTTTTGCCAAATGTGAGCACTCCCTATCAAGCCAACGACCCAGCAAGCTTAGCTAGCCAAAACTGGTTTTTCGGGATATGGGCGTGTGCTGTGTTTGAAACACGTACAAGATACACTTGCGGTTATTCATTTAGACTCACTCAAGCACTATGGTGAGCCTGTAAAATCCATTCTTAGATATTCTAGAAATCCCATGGCTAGCTCTACTGGATTTGCAGGAGTATGTACAGCACGAAGTTTCAAGGCAGAAAGCGTACTGCTTGAATGGATTCAAGTTGACAATTGCCTGTATATTTTTCGACTAATTGATGCGATGAGGGCTGAAGAGAGTAGCGAAATTCGCTGTTATCTCCCTGAAATCTTTACTTACCCACTATTTAACTACATTTCGAGTGAAATTAAAGATGAGTTCTATCATAAGCTGTCTAGCCTCCTGATCGAAGTCAAACGTAAAGATGTGGTTGTTACAGGTGATTTTAATGCACAAGTGGGTAGGCCAAGTCAAAGGAGTACAAACACATGTAGGTGGCACTTTCTGAATCCTAGATGAACGAACGGACAACGGTGTTCAAACAACCATCTATTCCTGGCCAGCATGAAGACAGGTATTGTCTGACGTGGTACTCACCGACCTAAACACAGATTGACTACACTGCTACCAGTTATCGCTGGAGAATGTCAGTGGATGTTTTTCCTTCTGGAGTACGTGTTTGGATGATGATCACGTGTACGTTCGGGACTAAATGAATGCAAAAAAAAAAGCAACATGACTGCTTCTAGAGCAGCTCGGGGATGAGAATACTAAGGCTGCTTAAAATGATGGGTATTGGAATAGACAACGTAAGTCATTCAGAAGAAACCTGGCGCTATCTTTTGTCTGCTGCAAAAGAGTTAGAGACCGTAAATGACTCCTATTAAAGGGTTGAAAGAACCACTGGATTTCTGCGGCTTCTTCTGAATTCACTGATACGCGCAAAAGCGTTCCTATAATCTCTAGGCACAACAGTGTGGGAGCAACTCAAGTGTAGACTGATAAATGGTCTAAGCAATTACCATGACGGGTGATGGGCAGGGTAGGCTTAAGAGGTAGGAAATGTGGCAGCAATAGGTAACAGCATACGATTGTTTAGACTGACCGAGGAAGTTAGAATAAAAAAAGTCAGTAGCTAGTGAAGGATGAGTCTGCAATTTACTCGCAACAGAGATGACTGGAAAGTTAGACGGAACACGTCATTTAACCTGAAGATACTTCTCTGGTGTCCAGTCGGATCCTGAGTGAAACATTGAAAGGTCTTATAGCAGACACTGAAAGGGGTGCCGCGTAAACACTTCCTGTAGAAAGATCTGTATTCCAACAGCCGATGATGTGATAAAGCCCATGGTGAACTGTGTAGGTCGAGTGGTGTCCATTAAAGATGTCTGCTCTCTAAATTCTTAATTTTGTCAAGGGTGTCTTCCATCCAGGCCCGACTATGGAAGAATCGACCTGGTTGCAAAATACTCCTTAGCGTACTTAGAGTGTGCAGATGACATAATTCTGTCAGATGAAGACGCTTGCAAGATGCAGAGTTTGTTGGACACACTGAGTGGCAATTCGAGAATGCTTGGGATGCGTTCCTGACCACCCGATTGCAAACAGTTGCCTCAGGATTGGTTTGTTGCTGCCCCATCTAAACTAGAGTCAAATGGTTGAGAGCGCTGATCACTTCTCTCACCTGGGAGGTCGGACCAGCCCTGTTGAACCAGTGACCAACGAAATCTATGCATGGATACTTAAGGCCAGCTTAACCCTCATCAAGCCTACCAATATTCAAGTGTGCTGCAATTCGCTGTTCTCTTATATGGTTAAAATGCAGTTACTCAAGGTGAAAAAGATGAGAAAGCTTCAGCTGTTTGACCATCGTTGGCTTCGTAGCATAGGGGGTTGTTGTGGTGCCACACTATTAATAACACAAAAATCAGGTGTAGTTTCAGGTAGGACAGGTAATTCAGTTGAAGCTGAGAACGTTCAGTAACTCAGAAAGCTGGGACATGTGCTACAAATGCCTAGATACCGTCTACCCCCAACATAATGGCATGTGAAGTAAGTTTAGGATGGTAAAAGGTTATAAGCTACCAACCTAAGATATGACATCAGTCTACTAGGTCTTTGACTGGTGGCTCGAGTCGTGTAAATGAAGACCTCTCGGTTGGGGCCCACGTGACAACCTAAACCAACGACTGGAGACTGTAGGCAATATGGCTCAGAATCAGTTTTCATGACAAAGGTTTTTCCACATATCATTTTCATCTTAATTGCAATACCGAATTTCGTGATTTTTTCATTCCTTCTAATAGTCTTTACGCGGCGTTTTACCAATTTGAATACTTTCGTTTTTTATTTCCCATCTTTCATCTGCGATGCATTCTCGCTAAATATGTTGTGATGTGTGATAACCTGGACTGTTAGGCAGTGATAAGAGATGCTAGCCTGACGCCGACCGACTGAAACGGCCGTAAATATAGTCGAGACCCACATTTAGACGTCATATTTATTTATCGGTAAAAATTCTAGTTGAAAATACCAAGTCAGATGCTTGATTAGCGAACGACACCAAACTGCACAATAAGCCTGTGGGAGGTAGTTAGCCAGATATCAGTTTATTGCACCTAGAGGACATAGGAATATCTAGTTATAGTGGTTTCATTTCCAAAAGTCATCAACTAGATTACAAATGAGTTCATCGGCGTTGAACTCCAATATAGTGGTCATCGCCTTGCTAGTCACATGAGAACCAACCGAAAGGTTACATTTTTGCAGCAATACTCCGGAAGAATGTATCTGGTATGTATGGACCGCTGAATTACTTATTCTGAATCATAAAAGACGCCGATTTCTATTTAACTAGATCCATGTTGTGGAAGTTAGTCAAAGTCACCAGGATTTCTGGGTGTCTTAAAACAGGTCACACCTCTTAGAAATTCTATATGTGGTACGCTATCATCTAATCTGATGATTACCTACTTAACCACAAGATTCTTCTCGCATCACGAAAGACACGTAGAAGAAACCGAAAATTCTGGGGTACAGGACTCCTGCTTGTATTATAATTGCTAAGAATGAAATAAAGCAGTGGCATTTGGTGACATTCTACCGCACGGACGTATAATCCAGTGAGAAATGTTACATTGAAGGACAGATACCAACCTGCATAGGGACCTAATAACGAACGGGTGTTACTGCGGTTTTGAAGCCTTGGGAAATTGACGGATTGTAGTCCAGGATGAGTTTGAACACCAGCGATGTGACGGTAGCACAAGAGTTACTATATATTGTCAACTCTGAAATCGGGGTTTCAGTGAGGCGGATAATTAATCTTACCAAATTACAGCACACTGAATTCTTAATTCCCAACCTTAAGTGTGTAGTGTTTTGAAGAGATACCAGGATTTAGTGGGTATGTAAGTACTTTACCTTGCTTCGTCAACTGCTGAAAGGTCATTGACCATCTTCGTATGCACAAGTGATAATCCGTAAGCAGCACGAAGTCACCTTATGACGTGTTAAAAGAGTAGGAAAGAATCACGCACCGTAGCACCGATACGCTTAATTTTCTACCAGGTGATTTTTACACGTTAACGTAGAACTTAGTGCATTAGGTGTTACCAATTTGTATGCGTTCAACAACCAGTATGCTGAAAGCAAATGGTGCATGGTGGAGTTGCAATGAACCACTGCCAATATCATAACGAAAATTCCCCTTACATGCATAACGTTTTGTGTATCTACCAGTAGGTTTAAGCTAACAAAAATGCACCCACTAACATACCTACTAGGTATGATGCATGTTTGCTGCTGATCATGCGCAATTGATCGTAACCTGCTAACCTAGGTTTGAGTAGCAGTTGCAATACTTGTCAAATACATAAAAAAATTTTGTAAAGCAATCGGTTATGAGGTTGGTTATTTCGTGTAGATCCTCCAAGAACCTAGGAAATTTAAAATATTCAGAGAAATGCTCAGGTTTATTAGAAGAAGTACTAGTGTTTCTGTGGTAATTTCCAAAATGTAGGCGAGTTAACTATCAACTTGGGAGAGGAGTAGTAGAATAGCTGCAGTTTGGTTTCTCATCCTAATAGGTTAACTAAGAATGACGCAGTAGGTTACTTGGCGAAGATAAAAACGAAACCACGGTATAATGCCAGCCGGTGGATGAGAGAAGTGAGCTATCAAAGGTGTTCATCTTCTGTTTCACTCAGGGCTTAGTTTAGGTGCACTAGGACTTTGTTCAGTGTTAAGCAAGGGTAACAGTAGATGAATGTCAACTCAGAAAATAATAAAATAGCTAACCAGAACACTTTTACATAAAAAACGTCACTAAATATAATTCAAAGACGCAATTATCAAGGTGGCTGCTAGGGCATAAACTATAAAGTGCATCCCAAAAGTTTGATGCATCAATGAATCAACTAAAATGTTATCATATTCTGCCATGGCACCCCAGCCAGCATTAGCTTCGGGTGCACATTGAGTTTCGGGCTAAAACCGGAAATTTTACTTCGGGCGCATATCGGGCGACGCACGATATCCTCAGAATGTTCTAAACCTTTTCCCCGAAAGTGTCAAAAGTCACGAAGTGTGCCCTAATTTTCTGCAATGCGCCCGAAGTGCCGAAAGCGTCTGTAGTGCACCCGAAGGTTTGTAATAACCCATATCCCAAGTGATGAGAAGGCTTAGTCCGTAATATTTTTATCTGAATATTTGACGTTCATATGCTATATGTGTTTATGTTATAGAAGTCAATAAAATGTTAGCGGCCAAGTGAAATATTTGTGAAATTTAGGGGGAATACCCAAAAGTTGCTGAGTGCGCCCGAAGTAGCTTCGGGTGAACCCGAAAGTTCCAAAGAGCGCCTAAAGTAAATGCTGGCTGGGACTGCCCAAGTTCAACTCAAAACTTTTAATGTCAGTCGCAACTGTCAGTTAACTAAGCTATCACAAATACTCAAGTGATAGATGGTCAAAGACATGATAATTACTTTTGGGAACGACTAAAATCGGTTAGTTACGTTCGAAGTACGATAAGAACATGAAACACGCGTTATTTAAACTCCGCACATCTTTTCAAGGTACAGTTACGGTATCGAAGTTTGCTACGTAGGATATGTAGGATATGTGGCGAACCTAGAGTTCTTTCGGTTAACAGTGCAATGTGCCAGTAGAAAATCTTTCTGTGCAGAGTTAAATGATCATCTAAATACATATCTGGTTTCACGGTAGTGTTCTATTAAAAAAAGAGAATGAATTCCACAAGTCACAGTAATCCGACCAAGAGTTAATTAGTAAGATTTTGTCCGAAATAAACATTTGTATCGTCGCACCAGTCTCTCAAACGCCCACGTGTTTCTAGTATTTCTCCCATATCGGGTACAAATGGTACAAATACTTTGACTGTTGACAAAATATTTCCTCCACAGGCCCACGTACTAGCAGAAGCGCAACTTTTCGCATGACATCCAGAGTATATCGCTCCTTCAGACCTCTCTTGTGTTAAAGGTTGACAGCCATCTGACTGCCAGGTGAGAGAGTCTCACATTGCCTTCCGTTACCTTGATTCCTTTTATGGGACAGAAAGTCATCCGTTAGAATGACGACAGACGTGCACTAGAATCGAAACGAGATGCACTAGCCAACTGGTCCACGCATTGGTGTCTGGAGGCTGATTCCGCAGAACTTGCAGCTATGTACGCTAGGCTGATTAACAGGTTTTTTCTGATCCGAGACATGTGTTTGGGTATGCTGCGGGCTGAAGCGGGAGTCTGTCAACTGCTAGGGCCCAGCGGACTGACTGGTAGCGACCTTAAGGCATCTGAGTTCCCGGATGACCAGTATTTGTAAATCTTTTCTTCGTCGTTCGCCTACTTGGTAGTCTGCAAATATCCCATCGACAAAGTATGACTTTCAGCTGTGGACTTAAGAGGGAACTGTTACTGCTCATGAAAGCCACCTCCCCGGGACCAGACGAAGTCCATGCGGAGAGTAGCATCAATCTTGAAGAGATGTTCAAGTAGATTATTCAACGATTCTCTTGGCTAAGGGAAAATGCCTCATCCTTGGAAGTTGTGCTACATGACGTTGTTTTTCTCAGGTGGTCAGAGAAGCAACTCAAAGAAATATAGACCAATAATGCTGCTGTCCTCACCCTCTGTAGAGTCACGCGCCCCTCCAGAATCAGCAGCCTGGGGTTCGATGAGATTCAACATTGATACTGACATTCATAGTTTAACTGAACTCGCTAAGCTGAAGGCGCCCGATCAAGCATCCTCATCATCCGGCAAGCTGTCGTGTTATGTTGCACTGTTCGTAATCGACCCTCTAGCCAGCCAGTTGGGAGGCATCCGTATCTCGGCCCAACCTCGCAAATATACCATTCCGTCCGACTACATAATTGTGTTCTTTCTTGGTCTCGTATTCATGAGTATATAACAATTTCGTATAATTGGTGATTGGCTTCTGTGTTTGTCAAGTTCACACCAACACAATTCCTAAACCTCCAAAGTGACAGAATGGTTAATTCGTGACGAACTGACGGATCATCTTGTGATGATTAGCTGCCTACACCTTAACGACAGGGTCTCGGGCACGGTATTCCGGCGTCACCAATCTGCTCACAGTGGCGGATGGGCGGGCTAGTATTGCTGACCAATGAGATCGAACTGAGTGTATTCACGTAGACCAGACCAAAGCGCTTGGTCGCGTTAATCACGAATGCCTTATTGATAAATTAAAACTGGTGGGAATCGGGCCATCTCTCATCATATTTGATAGGTCGTTTATTTAGATTTCGAGAGAGTTTTTTTTATGTCTGAAGAGACAAAATGTCTTAAAGGAGTTCCCCAAGGTTCAATACTAAGGCCTCTTCTTTTTCCGATATACGTAAACAACTTGTCACAGCAGGTTTCTTTCCAAGTCTTTCTTTGCGCCAGTGACGTTCAACCATGGTGAGAAATCGAAAGTCAGGGACGTAGTGTTTTATTATAGAAAGACTTAGGCCAACTTCAAAGCTGGGCAACAAATAATCGTGTTTATAGCCTCAGTGGCCGCTAACAGAGTGGGATTTAGGCTTTTTGGTCCCCCAAGACGCTAAACCTTATGCCGATCGTGACAGAAACGCAGTTCGCGGCAACTCAGGGCTAGTAACCTCCGCTGCCGTTATCCTACAGGTGAAACTGAGCAAGCGCCCTACAACTTGGAAACCAACCAGAATGCTGTCTTGTGACCGTTGTAAGGTCATTTCCCGCCATCTTAGCGTGTCATGTTAGACGATTGGTTTCATGCTAGCAAGCTTTTGTTGATCTATAAAAGTTGCGGACGTAGTTGCCGTTCTTATGCTATGAATTTAACCCAATTATGCCCCGTTTATGATACTGCCTTCGTTGGTTGCCTGTTTCGTTAGCTGCTTTTATTGTTTGTGATGTTTGAGGGCACGGGTTTGTTATAAAGGAGTTCTTTTTGCATATTTGTTTGCTGAAATCTATTTCTTCATGTTGTGCTAATGAGTTAATGTAAATTTAACCGCGTTAAGTTGTTCTTGTTATGTTAGAAGTTGGTTGACCATTAAAAGCCTTGATGCTGCCTTTGCCTTTCCTGATTTCCGAATTACTTCGCTGTTCACAGCCTTTATCTGGTTGTTTAGGAAGTCGATGCAAGTGTTAATACTTTCCACTGATGTTTGTTATCCTTCAGCTGAAGGTCTTTTAAGAAGGATGCTTTACCTATTCGTTTCCATAGCTTCATGGAGCCTCAGCAAGCCTCTGCGAGCAGTGCTAGCCTGGCTAGCGCAGCATGTGTGGATATTTCTGCAGTTTTTGAGCAGGTTATACGACCTAGAAATTTTACTCTCTAAAGTCAAGTCGAAGAAGCGATAAATACCTTTCAGAAAGTATGCTAAGAAGTCACTTAACTCGATGTTTAGATGACGAATACGCACTACGTCATCAAAGAATGTAATCATTACGAGGGAGATGCTAATTTAAAGTACCACTATGTTGTATTGGCACGGACGTTCGGTAACAGGAAAAAGTCAGAGGGCACTATACAGTGAATTAAGGGGTAATACAAGCATTTGTTTAGAGTAGCGTTTTAGACCGAAGTGTATTGGGTGTCATTCTAGAATTCGAATACGTTATGAGTTGTCATTTCATTTTTCCAGTCTTCAAGATGGTCCACAACCATCCATGCGATATGAATTATCTAGCGAAAGACCGCTGGTGTGGGCACCTAACGGAGGACCAACCGGAGGTCTTCGAGCCAATGCTGACGGCGGGGTCTGAAACGGACCGTGTTTTGCAGTACGTGAGGGACGTCATGTCGAAAGACATAACTTATGATTACCTGAAGAATATCCGGAGGAAAATCACACCAGGTAACTAATTTCATGAATAACTTTCATTCTGCAGGTTATGAATCTCAAAGAATGGTACTCGATAAATCCAGGAGTATTGGTCGGCTGCTAGCCTGGAGTGATGGTGAGCATCAGTAGGTGGATCGATTATGCTTCAGCAGCACCAATCAAATAGCCACCTACCTCCAATTTCCGGTAGTTGTATGCTTTAACTCAAAGCGTAATACAAGCAAAAGGAAGTAAGTCTATCGTGGTGGCATTAACGTGAAGCGTGGCCATAAATTGTTTCAATTTGCTGTCACGGATGATTTCGATAACAGTCGCCCAATTATGTTTAGGTGGAGCAGACGAGAACAAAGAGCAGATGCGACATAGATGTTGGATGCCCTTAAGCGGATAATGGGTGAAACGTCGTCCACACGAACGTTTGTCGTTGACTGTGCAAGGGCATTGGAAGCGACTGTCGTCCTGCGTGCATTCCACGTGTGCAGAGCGATGTGCAAATGGGTAAGTATTTCAAATAAGTGTTTATGTGCGCCTGACTTCAAGAAAAGAAACCCAATGCTCAAACAATATCTACGCAGATTTGTTCGGGAAGAATCAGCCAGCAGGTAGGGTGGAAATAGTATACTGACGTCCAACACAGGTTTTATGCATATAATCGCATCATCAACACTATCACTCAAGATATGGGGAGGTGTTTAAGTCGCATGTGGACGAACTGTAAGCTACTTTGGTCCCCTGCATTCTGCAATGATGTCCTGACATTGGGTAATAATACTAGTAATAGAGTTGAAAGCCTCCGTAAGCAGACAAAAAGGAGGCTAAGAAAATATGATTCGGAAAGCGGGTCAGTGGGATAGTAGAAGAATGGAAGGGAAAAGACCGGAAATGAAATTGCAGGGCTCTGAGAAACAAGGGTCTGCTGGACCTGAAAAGCTTCAACCAGTCCTCGACAAACTGAGTCCTTAAGCTGCAAAAAAGGTTGTAATGGACTTTAAACGACCGGCATTAGTATGCACCGAAAACAAGCTATCCAGCCCGGTCTTCTTCGTAGACAGTTACAGGAATCTGGGAGCTGACATGCATCAGGGGACGTGTTCCTGTAATTTCTACAAGACGTGCCTACTCCCCTGTCGACACATGCTCATAGCTCACTTGCATTTCTGAGAATTCAATGGTAAGTTGACGTATTGTGCTTTGCTAAATGTAGTTGCCCGTGTGTTGCAAAACTGTCAACGATGGGTTCGAAGTGAACCGCGCATGGCCATTCCTGACGCAAAGATCGAAGGCGTTCCATCAGAGGTTGCTGACCACCGCCTCATGAAGAGCAGACTTAACAGGCGAATGTTTCAATCCAGGAGTGAATATGGTTATGTGCAGGCCACAAACCTAATGAAGCACTGCATCAGTTTAGCAGGCGACAGCGTCAATGCAGCCGGCAGACAACAGCTCAACGACGAACCTTAGGCTGCTCGCCTATTCCAATCCTTGGCATTTGCCTACTTTATAGTCGTGAAACTTACGCCCACCACCGTTTCAAGCATCTACGGGAGCCCCTACAGACATGTAAGTCCAATTCACTTCCACCCTACACTTAGATGGCAAAATGAATTGTACACGTAAACTTCACTGCACAAGCAATGGATGATAAAAAGTAAAGTGATGTAAGTCTGTGTTCCTTTTTGAAATTGGATTTCAAGAATACTTTTCATGCCCCAT